GTGAAGGCCATACCATATGTGGCATATTCTTGTCACAGTGGCACTAGGGAACTAGAACAAGTAGCTTAAGTGCTCAGTAGCCACATGTGGCTAATGGCTCAATACTGGACAGCACAGAAATAAAATCGCCATTGCAGAAAGTTCTGTTGCAGCATTGGTTTACTTGGTCCATGTTGGGCTCGACATCAAGGCAACATTCCTTGATAACGGGTTTATTTAACTAATATCCATATCAAAAGGCATTTCCCCTCTATTCCTTGATTTTATCTTTTATTTTACAGAATCTGAGGCTTGTCAAAACTCAAAGGGTTCATAATGATATTACTCAATATTCTGTGCAATATTTTAACCTGTTAAGATATTTTTTGATCTCTGTTTATATCAATGCATGTAAATACATTCAGAGAGATTCTATGAAGGAGGTGGTCCTTGCATTTCTTAATTGAGTTTCTGAATTCTATCATTAGCCTTGACATCTCTGCAATTATACATATCTGGTTAACATGTTAACATCTCTACTTCTCTTCCTCTCACCTTCCCCCAACCCCTACATCCTCTGAAGCAGAAGCTAGGGAGACTGTGAAATTCTTAAAGTGATCATTATTTTGCTAGCACCTGGTCCTTAACAGTCCTGGTTTTGTGACAGAGGTGACAGAATCTGTTTCTGAGGCTGCCTCCTCCTAATTATATTCCAAATGGATCATAAGTCTGGGGATAAAACGTTGTTACACATTGTAGTGTCTGCAGGGCAGCACTTTATGGTATGCTGGGAGACATCTAAATGTAACGTGTGCAGCCAATGCATTTACTGTCATTAGTTAACCAGCAGCTCATGTGCCTCTTTCAGCTCCCTGACCCACATTTCATCCACGCTCTGCTGTTTTTCTCCTGCAGAGTTATTTCCTGAGTAAAGCCCAGAACTTAGGAGTCTCCCAGCAGAGAACTCAGTTCTGACCTCCCTACACAGGCAGTTTCACCTGCTGGGCTAGTGTTGTTCGGCTTCCTACTCAAGCTGTTAAGATTTTTGGATACCTTTTCATAAAACATATGGGTGATTGTAATTACTTTGGCCTGGTACAATTTTAGAAATGAGAGAGCAAGGAAGAGGTGCAAATCTTCTGTTCATAAATAACCAAATCTCCGGGCATTTTTAAAAAGCATTTGTGCAGCAGGAGAATTTATGTGCCACATTTCACCCATGGCACACTTTCCAAATGACTTGTTCAAAGAGAAGTTATATTAGGACAAATAGAAATGATGACCAAGACCAGATGTGGACTTTTAGTTAATATTTATGCAACACCCAAAGGGAAGATGATATTGCACAATAAACTAAAAATGTCCTAGGCAAATAAGGAAATCTTTACCCTGAGGAACTGGCACTGCAAAGGTATGCATTATACAACAAAGGGCTGGCAATGTAGAACAAATGCAGGGTAGGTTGGGGCAACTATAAAAAGGAATTCATTGAGGAAGTAGTAAGGTAGCAGATGTGTGGAATCTACTTTGGTAAAAGAAAGGCTTAGCACTTTTTGGTCAGGCTTGGGTTTGGGTAGAAAACACATGCTAACCAGCCTAATGTCCTTCATCTGTGGAGAACAACAGTACCTTTAAATAGAATAAATATTTTCAGAACTGATAGGAATCTCACATTGGATAACTATACCTTAATCACTAAAAAGCAATGTCCCCAGATTTTAAATGATCTCCAAGAATAGCGATGACACCTCTAATCCGATTTTCCCCCAAAGCTGTTCCAGGTAGCAAGAAAATGCAGATATTGGCTGCTTCTCAACCCTTGGAGAGCAGTCTGAAAGAGACCAGGGCTTAATGCACTAGAAGTATATTGAGACTCACGTTAAATTATAATAGGAAAATCTGCTAAAAGCAACTGGACTTCTCAAACACAGCTGGATTTTCAGTCTTACATTCATTAGGGATGGCAAGATGTGCAATTTTATCTTAGTTTACTAGGTTTCCAATTCAGAGGAATTGGAAGTGGGAGAGGAGAAAAGGAGTATAGAAATATTTATTTAAAATTATAGGAGGCTTGAAAACAGAGATAGCTCTGGAAAATGCTTACAAGCTCTTAGGACATGGAATCCAAGCCTCCCTAGTACTTTTATGCCTCTGAGTTCTCTTATTTATAGAAGAAGGTTGTCCATGTGTGACTTCAAGCATGGGTTTTCCAGTAGAGTTGATGCTTTCTTTAGAATTTTTAACCCACTTCCTTCTTCTTCTTTGCTAATTCTTCACCATCTTGCACATCCACGATATGAGGTTACTCTATTCCCTCATGGTGAAAAATTGAGCATTTTCAGTTTTATATGGTTTCCTCAATCTGTGATTACTTTATTAATCCAGACAATTTTTCCCTTTTTAAAATGTGTCTTCTACATGTCCACATGTTGCTGGAACACTATGGCACAAAGTGAAAGGGGAGAGGTAGGCAGGGCCAAATGAGGGCCTCATTACCATGGTAAGAATTAGAATTACTCCCTGTGCAATAGGAAGTTGAGGGAGTAGAAGTGAGATCATTTAAAAGACTACTGTCTTAGTCCATGCAGGGGATGAGGGTGGCCTGGGGTAGGGTGGTAACTGTGTGAATACAGATTTGGGATTTTGGATATAATCTAGGTTTTACTTAACAGCTGATAGGAAGCTGGAGAGCATGATCATAATAACTCTTTTACTACACTTACCATGACTTTCAGTGCTTTGCACATGTTCACTAGTTTAACACTCATAATTAAGGTATCCGTAAGACAGATACTATTATTATCACTGTTTATTAGATGAGAAATCTGAGGAACACAGAGGTTAACTCACTTGCCAAAGATTATCCAGATAATAAGCAACAGAGCGGGAATTCAAACCCAGGCATCTGATTCTAATGCACGTGTTTTGAACTTTAGCACAGCATTGTCTTCATTGCACCAAGATTCGATTTCAACATGTAAGGGCCATGACAGAGACAGAGACAGAGACAGAGACAATAGCACACCTTTAAGGGTAACCAGAATTATTTTTTAAAAAAGCTTCATGATAGTGACCAAATTTTAAGGAAAAACTAAAAAAAGGGTAAAAGATTAGTCCCTGCCTTTAAAGATATAATTGCCCTTTAATTATGTTTGTGTATACTTTTCTAAGGGCACAAATATTTGCCCGACAGGGATGGTATAATAGCCATAAACAATATTCATCATTTCATCCGTGTCCAAATATGAGCTCTCCTTTATGAAACCAGGAAAAGATGTAGCTTTGTTTTGCAGACACCTCAACCATGGCATTTGCTGCTTGGCCACTGCTGGACATCCAAGGGCTCAATTTCTTGTAGCAGCTTTGGAGAAGTGCTAGTTAGGGACTGTCCTAGGTGTGGCGGTCAGATGTCTACTGGTCTATTTTGCATGCATTGTGGTTGTCATGCAGCAGGGGGCGCTGCAGTAGTGTTCATCGTGGTCCAGGGACAGTCACTCGTCCCGCCACAGAGGGGCTAAGCCAGAAGGAGGTGTGGCAGGCAGCCTGCAATCCTCTTTGGCCTTGCAACTTTAGTACTCCACGCTCTTTCTACACTGGCCATTCTTCTATACCATATTTCATCATGTTGGATGCCTTCCACCTCGTCTTGCATCCGGGCTCAATGGAATGGAGGGCATTAGCTTCCTGCCTTTCCAGGGTAAAGGATAGCGAGGTACCGGGTTACACTAGAAGCGTCTCTGTGTTCTCAGCGTCTGTCTGGCACTCCCCCGCAAACCTCGAGAGGAAGGGGCAGAGGGTCTCCTTTCTCTCTTCTTGTTTGCATTCTTTCTTCTTAATCTTATTGCCGGAACATTTCCTTCCCCAAATCCCCGGAAGACAGTAAGCTTAGAGGTGAAATCTTCCTCCCCTGATGCCCCAAGCTTTCCAGTAACCCTCCATTTCTGTTCCCGCACCGTGTGCACGTGTGAGAGATCGCATGTGTATTTGTAATGGCCCAGGCTGCAGTACTCGCCAAACCTGTTCTTCTCCCAGTCCCCAGAAGTCTCTCCTGCGGACCAGACTTACTCCTGGCAGCGCTTTGCACACGCAGCGCTGTGGTTGAGACACAGCCGGTGCCAGTCGCCGCGGGCGCGGCCAGGCAGCAGCGCGCGGAGCAACCACGTCCTTCTTCTCTATTCTCCTCCAGCTTTCTCTCCCAGGGTGCACGCCAGTAACCCCTTTGGTCTATTTTCCAGCAGTCGTCCATGGATCCCTGGGGCTTTCCAGAGATAGATCGAAGGTGAAAGAAATGGAAGGACAGAAGGGGTGGGTAGGAGGTGCCTTCAGCCCCGGGAGAGTAGGAGGAGCCTCCAGTCTGATGGGGAAGGTGGGAGGAGCCTTAGGGGAGGATCTGGGTGGAGAAAGGGGCTGGGCAATGCTGCGTTGGTGGGTTGGCCACGCAGGCGCGGGGGGCAGCGCTGAGAACCCCACGCGGGAGCTTCTGGAGTCTCTGGCCGACGCTTCTCACTTCACTGGAGAAGGGGCTGGGGCCCGGGGGGAGCTAATAAAGAGTGAATGAGCTGCAGCCGCCGTGGCGGCTGGAGTCGGCTCGAACGGCACCGAAGTAGTGCTCCCAGGAGGCAGCGAGGGGAGGTGGCTCTCCCCGTCCCGCCCACCCTCCCCTCTTTCTCTCTCTCCAGCTGGTCCCAGAGCCCGGCTCGGTCCAGTCGCTCTGCCCCCACCCTATACTCCGCCACCTCCGCCTAGTCCTACTCCTCACCTAGGGCGACCCGAACTGCCATGGGTTAGGGTGGGGACCGCGAACCGCGGGAAGGACCAGCCCTGCGCATCCGCTGGGGGAGCGCGAAGCCCGAACGCCGCTCGCCGCTCGCGAGCGCCGGGCATGGGGAGTGCGGTGTGAGCCCGCACCCAGGGAGGACGAAGGAGCGGAGGAGGAGGAGGAGGAGGAGGGAGCGGTGGATTGAAGTACCCGAGGGAGGAAGGGAGGGGAAGCAGGGAAAAGTGAAGCTGGGAGGAGAAGGCGGCGGAAGGTGGGGATTGATGCTTCTGTGTTTTGTTGCCGCTGCTGCCCTCGCGCTGGGAGCCGAGCCGGAGGGAAGGCGGTGGAGAGATGATTGCAGAGTTGGTGAGCAGCGCTCTGGGGCTCGCCTTGTATCTCAACACCCTGAGTGCGGATTTCTGCTATGATGACAGGTAAGGAGGGGTGAGAGGAAGGGGAGACGGGCTGCGTGGGGACTCCGCGGGAGCTGGGACGCCTCCTGCTTTAAGGTTTGAAGTGCATCTTGGAGGCGTTGCTCCAGGACCTGTAGGTGTAGGTCCTTAAACGTTAACACCTAAAGCAAACACTGAGGACTCGGGCGCGCTGGACGAGGTGAGGGAGTTTGGCAGGTAGTTTGTAGCAGGTTCTCTCCTTTGCTTCTTCGCTGTTGGCAGACGCTTAAGATTCTTAACGGAAATCCCAGCAATTTGGGAAAGTGTTTAATGAACGTATTTAAAAAAGAAAAAGAGGGAAAAAAAAAAGTCTTCAGTATTCCTTGGTGCAACAAAAGCACATTAAGCGATTTTACGTCTGGGCTGAAGGAAGCCGCTCCCCGCCCCTAATAGATCTTCCCTGTAACGTTTCCCTTTATTGATGGGACATTTTTATTTCCCGAGGTTAACACACGTTTGACAGTTGCCAAAATAGTGGAAATAGGGATCGTACTGTGCTTCAACTTTCCCGTTTGGCGTTTCGAGTCCTTTACTTCGAGCCAAGATAATGCTCTTGATGGTCTCCAGCTACTCTCTCGCTCCTCTCCCCCGCGCCCAAATCGATGGGGTAGCACTTTGTATAAAGTCTCAGTTTTCATTCCTGTTGGAGAGTTTCACATTAGACGTTTAGTGATTCTTTTGTGCTAATTGGGGAAGAAGACTCCCCTAGAGACTGAAGTTGTCTTCTGCATTTGGGTTAGTTTGGGTGGCTAATGAGTCCTGAACTGTGTTGTCTAAGAAACTGCATTGATTTCTGGAAAATGTCACAGTTGTGCTGGTGTCTCTACCTATTTTTTTAAACGTTGTTAGTGTTTATAAACTGATGAAAAGCTCCAGTAGCCATTGGGGAAAATTCCAATTTGTGCCTTTTCCGGTGACTTAATCTGATTACAATTAAAACAGATGCATAATTAAAATATATTAGGGAGAACAGCACGCCTGGCTAAACTTATTAACCGTCCTGGGGTGTTTCATGCTCCATTGAAATTAAACCATCCAAAAAGTGTGCACAGATTTACTTTGACAGCTTTTCAGCAGCCTCTCTGGGCTGTGGAAAGTGAATGGATCTCCAGGGTCAGGGAGAGGCAGTGAGTGGGCTTAGGCAGAGTGGTTGGTGGTAGGGGAAGGTGAAGGCAGGATCTTCTGGCGATAATTAGCCACATTCTGTATTCTCTGGTGACTCCACTCTCTGGCTGAAAGCACGTTCATGGATGTATGCATTTAAGTAGCAAATCTTGGTTCACACCCACTTGTCTGTTAGGAAATCCCATGATAACAGGCGCAAGAACATGCAGCAAAACCTTCATAGTGCATTTTATGTGGTGTTTATCAGTGACTAGTTGATAGAAAGCCACTAATCAACAGGAAGTTTTCCCCAACTTTGAAGCAGTGTGCACATTTAGCAGTTGTACTACATGTTTTGAGAATTGGTCAGTGTGACAGAGTGAGGTGAACTGCTCTCTCCTCCAGTTCTGCATTACGTGCACCTGCTCTTACTCCACTGTTGGCAGAATAAGCCTTGCTTCCAAAGATGGGTGCCCTTTCGCTAAACCAAGCTCAGGGATAAATCTTGACAGTTAGTGGCTCTATTGAGGACAGTTTGAATTGCAAGTATTAAAACCATGACTGTAGAGATTATCTATATAAAAAAGTAACTTATTGTAACAGTGTAATAGTTGTAGAACACTGATAATCAAGCTTTCCTATTGTATGCTATTCTTATTTACTGTCTAATTCTTAAGAGTTTAAGTCAGAAGAAACTAGTCTTTAAAAATTAAGACTAAAACTAAACTAACTTTGCACTTATGTTTCTGTAGGTCTGATGGTTATTCTCTGTACTCATTAGATGGAAGTGCTAGGGCTTTGTAACTTTGGGAGAATGGTGTGAGTGTGATGATATATCAGTTGTTCTTTGATGGTTGGCAGTTGTTATAAATTCTTCATATGCTATAGATTTAGTGATGTGTCCGTTTTCTTAACAGCTACACAGATGAGTTGCATGTGATCATCTACCTATGTGTTTTGGCATGTTTGATATGATATACAGAATTTCTATATTGATATACTGTTGAGAGCCTCTAACTACAAATTATACTACTACAATTTGAAAAGTGTGTTTTTGATTTCTTAGTAGCAGAAGTACATGTGCAATCACATATGCTTAAGAGCATGAAACTGTAGGTATCAAACTTGGTTTTGTGTATCCTGGAAACTGTGAGCTACTGTGTACTAATGGGAGCAATGAATTTACTTGGTGGATACACAGAATATTAAAGCTACTCAGTGCCAAAATGCTGTGTAAATTGTGGCTTTTCTGACATAGTTTCCATTTATCTACTATAATTCCTTGGGGTCTGGAGAGGGAAGGGAGCTGAGGAGTCAAGTGGAAACTGTAGGATGATGATGTTTATTTCCACCACTCCGTTTCAGACTGCAAAGAACCAAATTTAAAACGTCACTTACATTACATTTGTGGATTCTGCTGCCCCCCAGGAGCTTTTGTGACATATAGTTCTAAAAGGGAGGCCAGTGTTGGAATGAAGAGAGCAGTAGTCCAGAGGGCTCTTATGCCTGACTTGCGTAAAAAAAAAAACACAAAAGAAAACTTAGTGTTTTAACCTAAAGAATCTGGCATTGACTTTAAGAGGGCTTTATGTTGCTTATCCTTAAACATTATGGCTGTGGTACTTCCCAAAGTTATCATTTGTTTTAAATATAGTGATCAACTTTACTTTGTAAACTTATTTATGCAGTTACTTTTACGTTTCATGTAGCTTAGTTAAGATTCAGTGGTAACCTGAAACTTCCTTGCAGCAAAATTAATTTCCTTATAGTAAAATTTAATATTTTACAAGTGTTCTGTGATAAACTGAGGAATATGACTGTAATGTGATGAAGCAAACAGTGGAAGAGTAGAATTCACAATATCTGATGAAGAAGCATGCATGGTTTCAGCTTCATGTCCACCTCCCCCTTGCCTTCAATCTAGTAATGACTATGCAGACTCTGTTTAGAGTGAAATTGGAATTATAAATATGCAATCTTTGCCAAATTTTAAGTCATGTTGTATGTATCACATTAAAAAACTCTCTCTTATTTTCTGGAGAAATGTGTTTAGATCAGTGGAAAAAAATTACTGACCTCAAATTCCCTGTTCTTTCACATATTTTGGTGAGGATGACATTGCCTCATTTTCCCTGCATCTTCTTTAAAAATACTATAAGTCTCCCAAGCTTAAGGATGAATCTTGGCAGTTATTTTCAGTTATTTCAAAGCATCAAAGATAAACCATGACTATACTTTTGAAGTTTGATTTCATTCTGCCCATATAATGTAATTGATGACATGATATAGAAGCAAATATAACTAACTAAATAAGAATACAATGTACTGTACACATGTTTTGGTTTTCATGTTTTAGTAAAATAACTCATTAGTTAAATAAAAAAAAACAGTTTGATGTTTTAGAAGTAGGAAATATGTTTGTGGCCTCTTTGAAGATTTTTTTAACCACTTATTGCCCAGTTTCTTATTAGTTAAACCCAAAAATTATCTGTAAGTTTCCACGTGTTCCATTATGTAATAATTATGTGAAACTTGGAGAAACATGTAGAATATTCTACTCTTGAATTTAAACCACACAAAATTCTTAATACAAATTCAGTTTAGTTGTTAATTTGGGTGTAAATGTAAATACTTGTTTTTATATAAATACTTTTTCAAAGTTTGTTTTCTACGATCATAATTTTTATTATTAGGAACTAAAATGAAGAAATGAAGGACTTAATTAGCAATTCAGTATGGATTGCACCTCATTATAAAGAAAACAAAAATCTTCATAGCTGGACCAGTAAGCAACATCATGATAAATGGAGAAAAGATTGAATTTGTCGAGGATTTCATTTTACTTGGATTCACAATCAGTATCCATGAAAGCAGAAGTCAGGAAATCAAATGATATATTGCACAGGGTAAATCTGTGCAAAGACCTGTTTAAAGTGTCAAAGTGAGCAAAGATGTCACTGTGAATGCTAAGGTGTGCCTGGCCCAAGCCATGGTATTTTCAGTAGCCTCACATGGATGTGAAAGCTGGACAGTGAATAAGGATGATCACAGAAGAATTGATGCCTTTGAATTATGGTGTTTGGAATATCGAACATACCATGGACTGTCAGAAGAATGACTTGTCTGTTTTGGAAGAAGTACAGGTGGGATGCCCCTTAGAATTGAGAGTGGCCAGACTTCATCTCGTACTTTGTCATGTTATCAGTAGGGACCATTCCCTGGAGAAGGCTATCATGCTTGGTGAAGGAGAGAGTCTGTGAATAAGAGGAAGACCCTCAGTGAGAGAAATTGACACAGTGGCTGCAACAATGAACTCAAGAACAGCAATGATTGTGAGGATGGCACAGGACCAGGCAATATTTGTTCTGTTGTGCATAGGGTTATTCATGTTTCCCAATAATCTTTTATTGGGACTCTTATAAGAAATAAGAGAACATCTGTGCCTAGGATACATGGAAGGTGGCTTGGACTGGGCTTATTCTTGGTCTAGAGCTTATTGACTCTCCAGTCATGGCTGTGCAAGCTTTGGGACACCTTGTCCAGTGATCTCCTTGCTGATTGTCCAGGCCAGGTGTTTTTCTGGGAGGTCTGCATCAGTGGACTCTGGTAGCATAGTACCTAAGGCATTTGACTGCTAACCAGAAGGCTGGCGGTTCAAACCCACCAGCCACTCCTCAGAAGGAGGGTTGGGCAATCTACTTCCGTAGTGATACTGCCTCAGAAACCCAAGGAGGGGTCACTATGGGTCGGGTCCGACTCAGTGGCAAATAACAACAACAACAACAACAAGAGCATCAGTGGAACTCTTTGCCTCAACTAACAGTAGGGATTGTAGACCTTTGCCTTTAGAGATGTTTGGCTGTAATTTCTAGGTGATT